CGTCCAACCCCAGGAACGTCCCTCGAAAGGGATTTCAAGTAGTAGGGGCTTAGTGTGGAGGTACAGGTGGGGCCTGAAAAATTAGAACAGGGACCATAAGGGTATAGTTTTAAATATTCATGCCCCCCCCTATAGTACAGATAAACTAGTAAATAAACTCAACAGAGGTCCTGTGAAACCGAGCACACACAGGCTTTCCGATGAGACTGAAGGAGTCTGAGGACTAAATGATGCCCGGTTTCGGCAGCCACCCTTTCGCAAAAGGGAGTCTTAACGGAGTCTTAACGGTTTCCGGCGCGACAGGCTTTGAGGATTTAGGGTTTCAGGTTAGCGGTTCAGGGCCACGATTCCGGATCTGGGCCTCTGCGGCATGGTTTGAGTTCATAGAGTTTTCGCTTCAATCCCCTAGAAACCCGCTGCCCGCGCAGATGCTCCACAGGCAAGTTCTCACGGGCCACTGGGAATGCTGACCGGGATTTTCGACCTGTTTTGCAAACTCCGAAGTGGCATCCTACTTCCCAGAACACGCCGAAATCATTCACCCCTCGAAACACATAGCATAGAGGCATAGAGTTTTGTAGGAGAACCCTAACGGATCGGGGTCATGGGGTCCAGTGTCGAAGTTCGGGGGATCGCAAGCTGCGCGCGAACCTGCAATCCTGCGCGCTCCCAAAAAAAAACAACACTAAAGACCCTAACACCGTGAACCAAACCGTATAGCCCTAAGCTGAATCTGACCATGAGATTTCAATTCCCAGTACAACAGCAGCTCTACTATAGAGCCCGAACGGCAAACCTCCACGTGCCGGCTTCCCAGCAAAAGCCTGCGGAAGAGTTGGAGATTTGGGGATTTGCTTGTTTGCTTGGGTGCATCGAGTGTTTAGGGTCGCGAACCATGCTTGTTCAGGGCTAGCAGTGTCGAGTCTAGGCTTCTCAGAAATGTGCTTAGCGAGTTCAGGTAGGGGTTCAGCGAATTCAATCAAGGGTTCCCCCCCATCATGTCTCGTAAAGTCTCTTATGTAGGGGCCTTTAAAAATTAGAACAGGGCTTTGTTCCCAATACAGATTAATGGGGTGAAACTACCAACTGCGTTGGCCCCTACATGGAAGAACGAAACCGTCCTAGCGAACCTGGCAACCCGAGCAGGCCCAGCGCAGAAGAACAGCGCAGGGTCGTTTGATCCAGGGCTGTAAGTACTGCAGCTCTATAGTATTGTGATTAGTTGTAACCGCCATAAAGATGCTTACCCTTTACGTGGAGGGTTGCATGACTTCAAGGCGCCCATAACAGTTTTCGCTACGGCTATGTGCCCTCAAGGTGCACCTATAGCAGCTCCGATAGTCAATAACATGACTCTGCCGGAACTCCCTGCGTCCCTGAACCCTAAACCCTGAACCCGACAACCTAAACCCTGAATCCTCACTCTACCATGCTATGCAGGACCTGACCCCACTGCTGCTGCGGGGCTTAGGGTTTAATGGGTAGACGCCTTCGCTCCGTCTGCAACCTTAGCCGCAAACCGGGGGCCGGCGGATTTTGAACAACTATGGAAAACGGCATCCACTAGAAACTCGAAGAAACTAGCCTTCAGGCATGTGTCGCATGCTGGCGCAACCAACTCGATTCTGCATTCTTGCTTCCATGCCCATGCAAAACACAATGCTAGATTCGCCAGAATTTTGTTGTTCTGTGTTGCAGCACACTCGGCCCTAACCCTAAACGATACTTCAGGAATAAAGGAAACCACGCAAGTAATGTCGTGCATTGGGAGCCAGTGGCTGCGATTGGTAATTCGGATGCCTTTGCAGTGGAGCATGCCAGCTGTCCCAACTCGGGGCACTCGGAGCAGGACTTCCATGTGCTAATGCTGCCGGTACTCGATTATCAGTATGACTGAGCACATGCACTCCATCATCATAGCTAACATACGAAAACCCTGTACCCCGACTATGCTCGACATGCCCGGCGCCAGGAATCCTCGACGTCAACACTCCACCCGAGAGATCCAACATCAGACTCGAAGATCCTCGCGAGTACAGGTTCAGGTGCTACATGTCAGCATTCAGGGTTAGGGCTGCATCACGCGACGACATGCCAGGAAACACGAAGGCATACGAGAATACTCTACACAACAAGATGGACCAGTAGGCCCCTTTATACCGCCATATGTTCTTGTGCAATTTACCAGTACAACAGCTTCCAACTGAAGTGTTGCGCCGCGTTTCTGACAGCTTCGACAGCAATCCGCTCGGAGCACCAAACCCTCAACGTGACGTTTGAAGGANNTGATCCTTCAAACGTCACGTTGAGGGCTTGGCGCTCAGGAATAGAGGTTGCTGTGTGGCTGAACAGGTTCATCAGACCCTGCAGCGCGAAAAATCGAACTCCATCCGGGCACTGGGTTGGGAGCAAGGCAAGCAAGGCTTGGGGACGGTTTTCTCAAGCTCGGGGTTTTAAGTGCGAAGCGTCGCCAACTCCACACACCGAGTACCCGGGGATCGGGGCATTGCATGAACCTCCGACAATGGGGATGAACCCGAAGCCCTAAACCCTAAACTCACAGAGGCTGAAGGTCCGAAGCCCTCTGCGCAGAGGGCTTCGGACCTTCAGCCTTTTGCTTGAACATCTCGACGATGGATATGCCATTCCATCGTCGAGATGCTCCTCGTCCATGTACTGCTCTTCAAGAACGCGGCTCAGACTGAAGATGGAATAATTGCGACAAGCTGACGCGCGATTGCAGACATCCGAAAAGGCCTGCAGATGGGTTGATCTCCCGGACACGCAATTCGACGTCTTTCATGTGCGGCTCTTTTACCAGATCAGCTTTGCTCAACAGCACCATGCTTGAAAAGGCGATCTGTGCAGCTGCCGTGCCTTTGTTTGTTGGATCCCCCTGACTTCCAGCCAACTGTTCTAGCACATGCTTGGAATCCACCAAGGCTACGACATTGTCGATATAGAAAGCCTCGGGACTCACGCTGCAGGCTTTACGATTCCAAGCGGTTGGGTTCTGTTTTGGTGGGGTTTAACAGTGGTTTCCTGTTTTGGGCTTGGGGTGGGTAAAATAGCCTCTGAGACGGAGTCCACCATGAAGAACGACTGCACGACCGGCGCAGGATCTGCCACGCCGGTGAGCTCAATAACCACACCGTCGAGAGAGTTGCCAGTCTCGTGTTTCCTCCATATGGCCGCCAGTGCTCTCACGAGGTCGGCGCGGATGTTGCAGCAAACGCAGCCGTTGTCCAAAACGAAGACATCTTCCTGACCAACATCCAGGACTTTGTCCGCTATCAAGGCATTGTCCACATTAACTTCGCCGACCTCGTTCTCAATTACAGCCAACTTCTTGTCATGCTGTTCTCGCAGAAAGTAGCTGAGCAGGGTTGTCTTACCAGCTCCCAGATACCCGGTCAAAACCAGAACAGGGAGCTGGCGCTGTCCGAAACTGTTGTAAACATGGTGTTCTACCTGGCTTTGGCCAGCGAAAGCATCCAAATCTTCAATCAAAACCATGGTTCATGCGGCGGTGAAGAGTGCGCGAGCACAAAACTACTGTCGCAGAAGCCCATGCTGACCCTAAAGACTGACAACGAAAGCCTGCATTTGGGCATAATGCTGTTGCAATCTCCAGCTGCCCTACATATGCCACGAATGAGCCCACCAGTATTGTGAAGGTCCTCTCGACACTGACTCTACATGTTGTGGTATATTCCATTATATTCCTTGCTCAACCGGCAGTGAGCTCGTAGGTTACTTGAGCAAACAGCCTTTGATCAGCTAGCCTGGCAAGCCTGGCAAACACAACACGTCACAGACGGGGCATTACACATCTGGGTTCAGGGTTTGGGATTTAGGGTTTGGTGTTTAAGGCTAGGGCGTGACATCAAAGTAGGAAATGCAGGAATGCATGTCGCTGCGCTGCAACATGA